CATCTTTGCCTGGACCTCCAGGCTGTTTCTTTAGAAATTCCAAAAAAAGTTAAAATCAATCCACTGGACTTTGTTTCCAAGTTTGAAGACGTTTCAGAAATAGCGTTGAGTTCCAGGTTTTATAGAGCGACCATCAAAGCCTTTTTATGGATTGGAAAACATGCAAATTGAACCAGAAGAACAGGTCCACTGGTCTTTGTTAGCCTACAATGACTGATACTGGTCTATGCCTCTGATGGAGGAGTATTAGGGTCATTGTTGGCCTGGCTGACCAGATGTATTGGTCCCTACATGGTGATGATCGTGGGAAGGAATCAACTCTACCGCTTGGTTGCAGCTGCTGTCTTGGTTTGGTGTAGAAGGCTTCCAGCCGCCATGTTTGAGCCCTTGCCTCGCAACGCTGCCAGTTCTGTTAGCTCTACGCCTGCTGAAGACACAGACGTCCATCCCCGTGAACACTGGGACGCAACTCAATGGGGAAGGAAAGGATTCTTGTTTCAACCGTTGCGTATATTAGCTGCGACACATGAATCAAGATGCTATGACTGAAAAAATGTGACTGAAAGATGACCCTTGGTATATGATTGGCTGAATTTAGGTGTTCAGGCTGATGTAGAACTAACTGGCCTGCAGAAGATAACGGGAAAAAAACACAGATTTTAAGACAGGAATTTTTTTTATTGAAATTTTCTAAATTTTGGGACAATATGGTCTGATAAAGAGAACATTTAGTGAATGTTTAAGCCAGAAAGATTTGACATTTAAATATGATTTCCCTACAACTTTAACAGATGGCTTCCTTCACGCCCCTCTCAAACCACCTGTCTTCTTTGTCCAAAATGTGAACATTCTGGTCCTCCAAAGAATGTCCTTTGTCCATCAGGTGTAGATGGACAGCAGAGTCTTGTCCAGAGGAGGGCTCTCTCTAAGTTGAGCCTTGACTAATGGTTTCCCGTCTAACTGCTTTGACATCTGCAGAGGTAGGAGGCAGGGATGCAGCCTGTCCCCGTCACTACTTTCTTAATAGTAACGGTTCGTTCAAATAGAAGCATCAAAGGGGTGGAGCTAGGGTGCAGAGAGCATGAGTTGTTTCTGTACGCAGATGACAGCTGATCTAGAACGTTCTCTGCCAGAATTACTCTCATTTGTAGAGGTTTTGGTTTTTTCAGGACTTGATACTTAAATATAGATTGAAAATAGGGGTAATTTCTGGAGGCGTTTGCAATGAGGAACTGCTTTACCAAAGGAAGCAAATCCATTGTGGAGTAAATTAGGCTGCAGCGATCAGTCAACGTAGTTTAGATGGGAGTAGAAGGTTGGAGTCATGGCCTAGTGGTTAGAGCAGAGCTCTGTGCTCTGAGAAGATCGCAGGTATCCGGTTCGATCCCCACAGCCTCCACTCTGGCTCCCTGAGCAAGACCCTTAACCCTATACCACTCTGCGTGCGCCACACAATCGCAGCCCCCGAGGGGATGGGTTAAATGCAAAATGAGAATTTCACCAATACGAGATAAAGTTCAATTGTCATTATTAGGATAAGATAAGATAGACTTTATTGATCTCACAGTTGACATAATCCAAGTCCAGA